AACCACCATGTCGAAGGTCGAAAGTTGCCAATGAAGAATCCAATCCCTCGAATTCGTTCAGGTGACTGCAAGGACCATGTTGGAGCTTTCCAACTTGCCCAGCAGCAAAGGATGAAGTGCGTGAAGCTCAGCACAAGCACTAGAACACCGAAAAGCTGCATTGTCCCATGTTCTGCACTGCCGCAGAATGTGTTCGGATACCTGAAGATGCTTCGACTACCATTGGGATGTCGGAAGCACATGAACGGAGCCAAACCAATGTTGCACATTAGCGTGAAGCAAGACTGCAGGAATTTTCCAGTGACACAGATGGTTTTGTAAAATCTCCAGTTCCATCCACGATTTCTCATGCAGGAGCAAAACTGCGTCACATATCCCAAGAGAGGGAAAGCCACCACGACAATGAGAAAAGATATTGAAGATATTACATATTGCTGCATACCATCACGTACAGTACAGCTGAAGCCTAAAGATCGGAGATTCAACACAAAGAGCGAAGACCACTCAAAGAGCATGTTCAAGGTTTCGGGCAATGGAACTGACACAAGACTGAGGATGCCCAAATTTTGAAGAAAGGCCAACAACATATCACCACCAATCGTTGCACACTCACGAAGTGCAGCCCGTGCTTTGTAGCGATCCTCAGTGACATAGTAGGCTGTGATCATCACTAGCAACAATACAAAAGGGCCTACGATCCAGGCAGCCACCATGGAGACCTCACAAGTTCGACACTCCTCATCGGCCCAGTACATCCCAGCTGCGCAGTCATGACATGTTGGACCCAATCGGCCACCTTCACAAGCTCCAGGAGGTCCCCCAGGACAATGTGTGCCAAGACATTTGAAGATCTCTGTCGGCCTTGTCAACCAACTGAAGTAGCCTGGCATGACCTCCGCGACTGCACTTGGGCCATTGCGGCGACCCTTCAGCCCCTCCACTGTGCTACCATCTGGGCATGAGAGCCCCTCTCCGCAAGGCACACATTGCACTTCAGCTCCTGGCCCAACATCAATGGTTCCAGCAAGGCAAACGCAGTCTGAGAAGAGGGTGGCTCTCAAAAGGATGGTGGTCGTTCCGTTTGGGCATTTCTTGCACGTCTCTGCTCCAGTATCATTCTGGTAGTAGCCTGCTGGGCACGACGCACAATCCTCAGTGGATGCCACTTCTTTGAAAGTCCCTGCAGGACAAGGGTTGCAGCTTACTTCACCAGCAGCTGGCTGTTGTGAACCTGCAGAACATTCTTCGCAAACATAGGTGCTACCCCAGTCTTCCTTGAAAAGCTTGGAATAGGTGCCGGGTAGGCACGCTTTACAGGTGCTGGCTGATGCCCTGCTTGTAGAAAAACTCTCCGCTTTTTCATCATAGAGCCCAAAGCCACGGATGCACAGAGTCGGATCAGGGATCCACTCACGCCACCTGGCTTCATGGTTTTTTAGCCATCTGCAGGCGATCTCTTGTGGCTGCTCTCCAGTTGCCAGCCTTTCACGCATTAGATCATAGATGATATCAATATCAAAAGCACTGTTCTCCAGAAGCTTGAAAAGGTCAGGAGCAAGGTATTCTAAGTCGTAACTAGTGAGTTTGGCAAGTGGTGTCTGACTACTAGCTGTAGTCAGGTCTCCCTGGCTGTGGGCATATGCATTATGTTCTGGAAAAATGACCTTCTGCGGATTCAACTCCAACAAAGAGTCCTCTGGCGTCCAGTAGTAAAACATGGATTTGTAGATCTTGGGAATCAGCAAGTAGTTCTCATAGGAATTCGCCACGCCTACTCCAAGTGGAATTGAAAAGACGGCGCTTCTTTGCATCACATCCACAATTTGCCAGTCGTAGACAACGTAGAGAATGCATTGCATTGGATCGTTGCGGCAAACTGGGGCTCTCCAGAAGTACCCGTCAGGACAAAAGGCTTTGAATGAGTTGTTGACAACGATCACTCCTGAATCATCACCTGCGCTTCAAAACATGAAGAAAAACGTCCAAGTTTCTAGTTGTGCCCCTCTTGAAACATGTGCCCGAATTCGAAGTGTTGACCCTACCGGGCCCCACCGGGCCCCACCGGGCCCCACCAGCCCTACCTGTCCATTTCCAATAGCCAAAATTCGTCAGATTGTCGTTGAGTCTGCTCTCTCGACATTGAAAGAAATAGGTTGTGTTTACCACAGCGATGCTATCGAAGACATCCAACACCTTTCAGTTGCGAAGAAAAACGGAAAACGCGAAAAACCAAACAAACTCGTTCTGAAGAATGAACTCCAAACCAGATTGTAATCGAGCATTTTTAAAATGATTCTCAAAAAAAGAACATCAAAAACTTCTTGTACTGTCTGGCACCTGATCTTTGGCAAACTGGTACATCTTGTAGTACTCTAAGACCAAACCTCGCGTTTCCGCTGCCTCAACAAATTAAGGCTTTTGTTGTTTTTGGTGCGTGCGTAATCTATTTTGCTATGGGGTCGAAATTCGGGCACACCAAAAGGGATATTTAATGCATATTTCATGTTTTAGAATGAATGGTTTTTTCTAGTAAGCAAAGTCTCTAAATGACTGGCTAATCATGGTTAACACAAAATATCCCATAGACAGTTGTTTGTTTGTGAGATGCTCTATTTTTCGACTGGCGCTACAGAAAAAACCGTGTCCAAGAAGGTGGCGCCTCGACAACGGATGCAGAGATGAATTGGCCAGTCCCGCCCACATAGCCCATGTCCGCACTAAGAGGAATTTCTGCAGGATATGATTGCCGAAGGATTTCCCATGTCGTTGGGTACAACAAATGCCAGCTTTCGACCACGAAGTGGAGCTCCTGTTTGCGTTCCTCACATCCAGGCGACTCGCGATTATACCAGGTCTTACAGCCAATCATCGCATATATCACTTCGAGGGATGAGGCTGGCACGTGAGGATCGTATTGCAAGTTGTAGCCAAGCACTTCAGAAATCAAAATATCGATAATTCCATTGGCTAACTCTGCCGAACGGTAGGGCTGCAAGACGACCCCCACGGGAAATGATTCTCCGTTTTTTGTTAAATTCTTCCGGCGCTCTGGCGCGACACCGTTGGGCAAACATGTTCCTGCTGCTTGGGAAGCCAAGCAGAATGCTAGGATGTACAAGAGCGCCATGGCAGGGAATGTGATGACGGGATGATCACGGCCTACACAAAAAAAAGGAAACATGGACCTGTGGCCAAAGGTCCAAGTCAAGAGCCCAAAAGAAAACACGCACGACAAATAGGGGTCACAACCAAGCTCCAAAACGGACGGTTTGACCCTCATGACATAGTTGATAGATGTTGATAGGGGGCATTGGTACCCCAATGATTTTCAATTTTCACTGGTAACAAAAGCCCAGTTGTGACCCCCGCAAATAGGTTAGAACAGCCCAGAAATTTGGTATCAATGGGTAAATCCGAACCAACCATCCCAATCTTACCAGAAATGGGTAGCAATTGCTGGCAATCTTAGAGCCAAGTTCCGAATCTTCATGAGATCTCCTTTGAGATCTCCTTCTCTTGGTGGATTAAATGCTTCAAACTGCAGGAAATCCCACCAGATCGCTGTTGGCCTGTCTTTCGCTTTAGGCTGGAGCCGCCCTGGCAGAAAATCGGAATGGGTCAACTGTATTCGATCAAATCACTGTATTCGAAAAAAACATTGGGAAAACTCACCAGTTTCTTCCCTGGATTTTAGCGGCCGATTCCAGGAGATCTTCGACCAGTTCGGGCGGTCGGCACTGCCTATCAAGTCTTCAGACTCGTGGGAATGGATCCCGGATTGAAATTGCAGCATCTATGATGATTATAGCATATTTTAAGCACTATCACGGTCCATGATACGCATTTATATGCATTGATATGCATCATAGGGAACCTCTTGTTTCGTCATGTCATCCGAATTGCGGAGCCAAGATCGAACCACAATTCAAGTGCTGTGGAACCCCCAAAAATGCGCCAAGTCAGCATCAATTCTTTTGCTACATTCCCGATTGCCAGGAGAACTGAGCAGTCTTCAAAAACCCTCTTTTGTCTATCATTCCAATTATAGTGGTTGCTTAACGGGAATCCCAGCTCATGTTTTTTTTCAGAAGCGATATGCAGCTCATATTGAGCAACACGTCCGCAGCAGCGTGCCCTAGACTGGTTGCCTACTTCAATTTTCGGGTTAGAAGAAGCCACTGTTCACGGTTTCTGCAATTGGTACAAATTGGTAATAGAATTCTAAGGAAACGAGTAGCATCGTACCATTGCTTCATACTAAGAGCGGAGAATTGCTTGAGCTCAACTATGGTGACATGTTGATAAAAGTCGTGAGTGAAATGTCCTAGCATGGGAGGAGAAGATCGCATAGCAATGGCTCTATGTGCTGATTCAGCTAGGGCTAATTCTAGTCAGTGCGCGGCGCTCCATGTCGAAAAGGTGAAGGAATAGTGCGTAGTGAATGTGATAGGTTGAACATAGTGATTGATTCAGCAGAATCTGGGTGTCTAAGAATGTGTCCAAGGTATTTGATACGAGCGTCTGAAATTTGCATGGATGATGGAATACAAGAAGGAAGGATTGGGTATGATAATGAAAGAAGGTATTCATTAGAGCATGGAGAATCAGTGGGCGAAAGGACTCGGTAATAGTAGGGACTTTTAACTGTCTGAGCTGTGGAAAAGGATGGATTGAACCATTTGGGTAACACAGAGTTTAAATCTTTGCGAAAAGAGAGGATGACGAAAGGCTCGAGATTTTTGAAGGCCGAGGAGAGCAACGGAAGTTGACGGGACAGAGGAAGTAGGAGTGTAAGATCCCAAGTAGCACTGCGCAATGGGGTAAGCGGAGTAGTGAGGAGCTGGCATTTGGATCCATTGAGGAGGCCACGAGCAGCTAAATGCTGCAGGTGAGACGAGACAATGTCTCCTTGGTGCAATACGTAAGTGGCTTAGAAAATGAGAATGTCCATGGGACATATACGAAGATTTCCTGGAAAAAGGAAAGGTCAGAGTTGAGAGCAGAAAGGACAATGATAATCAGGTAGAACAGGTAGGGCTGAGGGGACAGCGACGAATTCCCCCGGAAAGGGGTCACGGGGGGGGTCACCTGATGGATCGACAAAAACTTGGCCGTTGCGGCCATGATGGCCGAGACAAACGGAGGGATGCCATCTAGAGCGGCGAGGTGTGGATGGCCGGAGTCAAGAGCCTGGGACCAATCCAGGAATAGATAGGAATATTAATATTATATAAATTATGATATATTATATTATATAAATTATATATGTCGATATAAAGGGAAGTAGAGTGTCCCTCAAATATTTCAGTGTGTCGGTTGGAGGAGATGGTCGATATGGGCTACTCATTGATCCTGCAAGCATACACTTTATAGATATAGTTAGCAAGGGGGATAGGACGATAACTGGAAGGAGAGCGGCTATTCTCTTGATTGCCCTTGTATATCAGGGTGGAGATGAATACCTGCTGAAATATATATATATATCAGAAACAATCTATAATTTCTGTGGCACCCTTTCCATTTCTTTGCAGGTTAAATCCAATTTTGTTGGTCCAATGCCAATCCCCAAGAAAATCTGGATTTTGAGGCACCTGAATAATTTTTTTGGACCTCCGTTGAGCACCTCGAAGTTGTTGATTTTAGAAAAGGAATGATCTCGAAAAAAATATTCCGAGAAACAGATGAAGGGCGCCGCCTCAATGAGCAAGTTGAATCCAATCTTCAAGCGCCGCAGCCAGCGGTCCTGGTGTCGCTATCAAGATGCTGGGCTTGCTCCGGACTCGCTCCGGGCTCGGTCCGGGCTCGGTGGGCAACAAAAAATGGAGGGAAAGAGAGGGAAACACTCAAACCACTCAAACCACAAAGCAAACTTGAAAAATCTCGGAGTTTGCTCGGAGTTTGTTGGACGTTAAATAACGCTTTCAATGTGAGGTGAATTGCCATGGGGAGAACTTGCGTGGTCTGGGTCGTAACTAGGGTCTTGGGACCCCACTTCTGGGTGGTGCACTGGCCATCTGGTAGCAACGTGATATCGGGTCAAAATGGGATACCCCAATCATTGGCTAATACTATGATACTAGAAATAGACAAAAAATCTTTGATTCCATCAGCCGGTTTCCAATTTTGACCCATAGCCGCCATGGCCATTTTTGTCAAGTCCAAATCCCAGTCCTTTGAAGCCCCAAGGATTTCCTCCACACTCTTCTTTTGAGTCTGAGCTGCAGCAAGGCACTCTTTGGCCTCCGAACAATCTGGAGGGAAGTGGCTGTGGGTACCCTCAAAACGGTGAACACTGGGGGTAAATGTATGTTCATCCCCAAAAACAATGGTATTTCCTAGGTTTGATCCAACCCCAGGTCGCTTTTCATATCATATTCTAAGGGACACTTCAGAGAGGTGTCCCGCACCTTGCCACCTTGCGCCAACATCTCCTTCAACTGAGGGAGGCATGGAATCCTGGGGTCAGATGGATCCATGGCTTCTGGAGAGCTGATGTTGAAGACTCGGAAATCAAAAAACCATAGGAAATCAGATCACCTGGGAAATCCATAGTTTCATGCAGGTGTCAAGAATTTTTGGTAGATTGTCAAGCCACGAACAAAGATTGCCGGAGGCTAGGTCCGAAAGAAATGAAACACTCAACCGCGAGAATGGTTTTTCGTCCGAAAAAAATGAGCCACCCACCCTGGCGGTAGTGGGAGACATCCAATAGTCCTGGCAACCCTCAAGAACCACCAGCAAATGCATTTCAGTTGCAACTATTCAGTGGATAGTACTTAGAAAGCCACCCAAAAAGGCTGCATTTTGGTGGATTTTTTCACTTGTGAAGCCCACTTTGGGGGTTTACTCAAAATGCGCCAATCTTCTATCGATTTTCCCGGCAATGGTGAAAACATGTGGATACTACGAAGCCTCTGTTGTTTGCACATCACACAATACGACTGTTCTCTGCAACTCAGGCACTTCTTGCTTTGGCTCTGGAGGACCCTGCAGGAGTGCAAGATGCATCACCATCACTAGCCCATGGGGATCACATGTGGCTACCCAAAAGAAGGGATGGTTAACGATTTTGAAAATGAGGATCTGTCCAGTTTTTATTTTGATTCCCATGCCCCCAATACTGAATAACCCCCATGCCCCAAACCCCAAAGTGGAGTCTATGGGATCTATTCATCGGGTTTCCAAACATTGGGGTTACTGTATCTGCGAAAGTGTGATAAATGCAGTATCCAGTATCCTCCCTTCTGTTGGGAAATTACACTTTTATTGTGCCGATGTCCCACCTTCTTGAACTATACATAGAGATGGATTATCCATAGTGAAATATCCATCAAAATATAGTCATAGTGATGGAATCCAGGATACCTGATGAGTACCGAGTTTTTGATCATCCGTAATGATACAAATTTTTTTTGGAATGAAAACAAAAATGGTTTTGGGCAACTGTTCAACAACCTGAAGGATTACTCTCCTGCAAAAGAGTCACATAATGTCAAACATTCATCTGCAACTCATCTTAGGCCAGCTCCATGCTTGACTTCAGTGCCTCAGCATTTACGACACACAAAAACTGAGCCTTTTACATGCACATGATTGGGAATTGAGGATTTACAAGGTGACTCACTGGGGATGGGGATTTTAAGAGATTGATGGGTGACTCATGGAAAAGAGATTTTCATTGGTGCAAAAATGTTTATTTCCATGTTGTGACCATTCTGGAAAGAAAAAACGAAAATCATGACACACCGAGTGGCTGGCTGATTGAAACCAGAATCATTTGAGAAATTTGATGGAACGTAGTGAGACCATGTGGTGGTTTCCTAAAATGGGGGTACCCCGAAATCATGCATTTTAGTAAGATTTTCCATGAAATAAACAGCTATTGGGGTAACCGCATGGCTATGGAAACCTCCATGTTTTTGGAGTTCCAATTTTTCAAAGCCAACCCCCAGAAGTTCTCGCAAACCTGCTGCGCTTCGTGGCTTTGCGCGATGCCCAACCAGCCGAGACCCAGACCCACTCAGCCTGGATGGAACTGGGGGCCATACTGACCCAACTAACAGACTGGTTCGAGCCATGACAATGTCCAAAAGATAGAGTTCCGCGGCTAAAGAAAGGCCGACAGGTGGACAATGTGGACATGATTTTTCAACTCGAAGCTGCATCCCGGCCACTCCCCCAAGTGGTGTTTCATGAATCGAAGATTAAAATGCCATTTCTGTCAATTTCTTTTGTTTGTTCCCACCCATCCTTCCACTGGTTTTTGTTTTGTATGTGCCAAAAGGTACGGACCTCACATTTGACCCTACCGCAGCCTCACATTCGACCCTACTCCACAAGAACCGCACGCACCCTCACATTCGACCCTACCCTACCAAAAATACGCAACCCTTCCAAGAAAAAACAACATTGCCCGGTTCACATTCGACCCTACCCCACTTTTCCCGGTTCACATTCGACCCTACCCCACATGAGGCCAAACTCAAGCCGGTTCACATTCGACCCTACCTCAAACCAGCCATCCGTGAACCAACCCCCCTTGAACAATTACATTCATTGGTATCAAATCAACCAGCCCCCCTTGAACAATTACATTCATTGGTATCAAATCAACCAGCCACCCTTGAACAATTACATTCATTGGTATCAAATCAACCAGCCCCCCTTTGAACAAGTACATTCATTGATATCAAATCAACCAGCCCCCCTTGAACACGTACGTTCATTGGTATCAAATCAACCAGCCCCCCTTGAACAATTATATTCATTGCTATCAAATCAACCAGCCCCCCTTGAACAATTACATTCATTGGTATCAAATCAACCAGCCCCCCTTGAACCATTACATTCATTGCTATCAAATCAACCAGCCCCCCTTGAACAATTACATTCATTGGTATCAAATCAACCAGCCCCCCTTGAACAATTATATTCATTGGTATCAAATCAACCAGCCCCCCTTGAACAAGTACATTCATTGGTATCAAATCAACCAGCCCCCCTCTTGAACAAGTACATTAAATCAACCAGCCCCCCTTGAACACTTACATTCATTGCTATCAAATCAACCAGCACCCTTGAACAATTACATTCATTGGTATCAAATCAACCAGCCCCCCTTGAACAATTACATTCATTGGTATCAAAGTATCAAATCAACCAGCCCCCCTTGAACAATTACATTCATTGGTATCAAAGTATCAAATCAACCAGCCCCCCTTGAACAAGTACATTCATGGGTATCAAATCAACCAGCCCCCCTTGAACAATTACATTCATTGCATTGCTATCAAATCAACCAGCCCCCCTTGAACAATGACATTCATTGGTATCATCAAAATCGTCACCATCATCATCATCATCACCATCATCATCACCATCATCACCGTCATCATGATCATCCTCATCATCATCACCATCATCATCACCATCATCATGATCGTACATCGTCATCAACATCATCATCACCATCATCATCATCACCATCATCACCATCATCATCATCACGATCGCCATCATCTCCGGGACCTTTGTTTCGCAGCTAAAAACGCAACTTTCTCACATTCGACCCCCAAAATGGGGGTCACACTTTTCTTTGAAGGCACGGAGTGTGCTCACAAAAGGGAGTAAAGAAGGGGCTGCGGACGTGTCTTACATGACGTGTCTTACATGACATGTCATCTCCACAGCTACATGCTAGACATGAGGTTTTACATGGTAAAAACCTAGGTACTATGTTGGTCCTTGGAGTGAGTAGTCTAGGCCTGTCAGACTTAGTGCCATCCTGAAGGCGACTTTTGGAACTCATGGAGGATTGCAGTCATGATTCAATCATTTCAAGAGGGATTGACATTGTTCCCGGTGTGACTTTGGAAGATCCATCCCAAGAATTCAGTCTCCGTAGTAGAACTGAGGTGAGGGTCTTTCATTGCGAGTGCAGTTGCTGAAGAAGGTTTTTCAAGGACAGAACAGTTCGGATCTGATCCGTCAGATTGAGCTTGCATGTGCTAAGTACACACGCATAATTTCCACGTTGTTGGGTGACAGTGCAGGATCAGCGATTGGGGATTCTGACATGTTGACCATGCTGGTTCGTTCGTTGCCTAATGATGTAAGAAATCTGTTTGATGCATAGTAGTGGGGAGTCATACTCAAGTTATCGACTTGCTACACGTCGGTTTGAACAACAGCACAGGCTTTTCAAGGACTTGAATCTTCAATCCAGGAAGGTTGTTGCAGGCTTGAATCCTGCCACTCCGGTGGTCGAGGAAGAAGAAGGTGAGGAATCGATCCTGTTGTGAATGCTGCATTGGACAAGGACAAATCTAGACCACGTTGCACAAAGGGCGGAAAGCATCATGAGGTGTCTGTGTGTTCAACCAACATGGAGAAAGTCAAATGTTACAAGTGCGGCAAGGCAGTGGCAATCCCATTTTTTGGCAGTGTGGAACCTTGCGAGCTGCTCGAGACACGAAGCTCTTGGCATGACGCAAGTGGATCAAAGTGGGTTTTATTTGAGCAGCAAGCTCTCAACGCAACTGTATGAAAAGAGATCTCATTGAACTTAACTACAAGGCGGCGCAATGGGGCGTAGGAGCCGTATGGAACCGAAGGTACATGGAAACAAACACCAAAAAGTCAATGCGCCAAATGCGGATAGACCGGGAGGCAGACATCAATCGGAAGGTAACTAACTCGACCTTTGTCAAAGACACCGATCTACGCAGGGCAACTGAGGCAGTGGCCAATAAACCTGCGGCTCGGTTACCGCCAAGCACCTTCTGTGAAAACACGAGAGCGGCGTGGCAGCTCTTTTTCACAGCTCGGACTTGAGCCAAACCACACAGGTTTGACAGCTCAGTCACTCTTCTTCTTAGAAGAGTCGTGCAGAGTAAAACGCAGTGACACTCAAACGTTCTCAAACTTCTCAAACTACTTCAAAAGAGTTCTCAAGCTTCAAAAACGTTCTTCCAGCTTCTCCAAATAAAACGTCTTCAGCTCAAACTCACAAATAACCTACAAAACTCCTACCAAATAAGTTCACAACATCAAGTTCCTAAGACATGGGTCAAACAACATCCAAAAACACCAAAAACCACAAAAACAAACGAAAATCCATCTCCAAGCTCTTCCATGCACAAACTGGTTCCATTTGGTTCCAAATTGGTTCCTACCTGGTTCCTATAGGTTCCTATGGGTTCTATAGTTCACAGATCGGTTCCTACAAACTTAAAATGGTTTCCTAACTGTTCACATGCACATGCATTGTTCCAAGATAGGTTTAAAGATGTTCAAGTAGGTTCAAGGTGGTTCAGTACACTGTACATCCTCTCACCAAACTTTCACACCCCTTCTTGGACAGTAGTGCTGTACACCGAAGTACCTATAGACTACCATACCGTTTGTAAGGCAACTAAGTTCTGAACCCACACAACTAAGATCCAGACATCACCAACTAAGATCCATGCTCATCAACTAAGCTAGGAACTGTGTTTTTAATGGTGCCCTCAGATAGATGGATGTTTTATGAGAAACGTGTCTCTTTGGCTCCATCTTGTGATCATCATAGGGCAGTGGCAGCGGTGCAAAAAGAGACCAACAAACCATACCCCATAACCATCTTTCTGAGTAACCCACAAAGTGGAACTGAGTTCACAACTTCTGCACAAAGTTTTGTTTGAAAACGTTTGTCATTTGGAAACCTTGGTATTTGAAACTGTCTCACGTTGGTCATCATCATCTCATCTAAGTAAGGGGAAACTGGCACCTATGGTCCTTCCGCTGGATAGACCTTGGTGTCCAGTCTTTCTGGGTATTGGGATAGACCCTCAAAGGATACCAGGGTATCCATGCCGCTGGCATGTGACCTTGGGAATCCTAAGCCCTCAAGTTAGGATCATCAACACAAAACCCAAACAAACTGAAACATGTTTTTCAAATCTGTTTCTCAAACGCTTTTCAACTTGGAACCTTGGCTTCTGAACTTCAAGGCTCAAGAAGTTCCTCGGTGGTGTTGTCTTCTAATCCCTTGGTTATCAGCCCAATGCAAGTGACAGCTGAGCGCTGGGCAGGCCTTTTTCCAAAAAGAGACCCAAGGTACAGTCATCAACGCTGAAAGCATATCTGACATAGATGGAGTTCTTTCACTCCAGGTCCTTGAAGATACTGGCAATCCTCTTTGTGCAACACACGGCTATGAGGCCGCATATAAAAGCACATCTGGTTCCACTCTGTCTGAACTCCACTGCGTACAGTCTTCTTTGTTGAGATTGCAGTTGCATCAGATTGCACTGCCTGTATACGACCTTCCAGTTCTGCAAAACGGGCTTCCTGAGCTCGAAGCTTGGCTATGTAGATCTTGAACTGCCAGCCCATCCAGAGAAGACCACAAAGCAGTGCCAGAAGCAGTAAGACAAGCACATCAAGCAACCACATAGCACGCACAAAGACAGGGAGGCACAGAGAATGCCAAAACACTTGAACCAGAACTCCAAGACAGA